CCTGCGGCGTGGCTCAAGTGGGGGCCCAATGCAGCCCAGCTTCATCAGCTCAAGCTCAAGACCCTCGCGAGGGGCCAAGCCTCGCGAGGCGGACGACAGGGAGCTTCCTCAGGAGCAGCCTCCTCAGGCGGGCTCGCGAGGAGGCGGAGAGATCAAGGCAGGGCAGCTCCCGAGGGGCCCGTGACGCAAGCCATGATGATCGGAGGCCAGGCGGGTGCCAGGCGGGCGCCGACCTGCGCAGTGTCCTTGTTTCCCTTTCGGTGTAAGGGGGCAAGCACAGGCCAAGGCATCGAGCAAAGGTTACCGTTTTGGTGCAACAAGACCAAGACCAGCAGAACGGCAGGATGAAGGTCATCGTGGAGCCCAGGGCGGCGTCACCGTCAGAGCCTTTGGCAGCCGAAGACCAACTTTAGTCAGGATAAGTGTACCAGATGTTCCCCTTCAAAGTGGCCAATTGTTGGCGCCCTTCCCGCTCATTATTTGAGGAGAGGCCCAGGGCCTCGCTCTATAAATAGGACTAGCCACCACAAGGTAGAAGGATCTGTATCTGGAGATCGACCAGAGAGAGAGAGAGAGAGAGAGAGAGAGAGAAAGAGAGAGAAAGAGAGAGAGAGAGAGAAGCGACTGAACTCACCCAATCAGTTCATCGCACCAGCTCAAGAACAGCCCCTCGCGAGGCTGTTCATCATCAGCCCCTGAGGCAATCCACCACACCACACACTGGAGTAGGGTATCACACCACAATGGTGGCCTGAACCAGTATAAATCTCATGTCCTCTGTGTGTTCATCTTTCTTGCCTAGATCTTTGCAAGACTTCGAGACGTGAGCTGGTAGGGGAGAGATTTTCGTGCGCACCCCAGTGTTCAAACCTCAAGGGTCTGCCAGAACCCGAAATCCGACATTTGGCGCGCCAGGTAGGGTGCGCCGGAATCTTTTCTTCCGCTAGCCGCGTGTGATCTTCCGCCGTGACCATGGCTGACGCTTGCCGAGCTCGCGCCGAGCGTCGGGCTGCTCTCGCCACCCGCGTCGCCCAGACGGCGCCTGTCGGCGGACGCCCTCGTCGTTCCCCGTCGCCTGCTGCCAACGCCGCCACCGGCCCGGTGGGGAACGAGCAGCAAGCCTCATCCCTGCATCCTTTGGTGTGGCGCGATGGCCGCACCGCCTCCCCGTCGCTGACTCCAGCCGGTTCGTCGTCCCATGCCCGTCGTGCCCCACGGACGCGCACGCCGTGCTGCTCCTGGCGCGTGAGCTCCTACACTACCGCCCCGTCGACGACCTCTATGAGGACTGGCTCGCCCGCATCACCGAGCTCGTCAGCGCCGTAGGGGGCTCTCCCATGTTGTCCCTCTCGCTGCCTCGCCCTCCATCCTGCACAGGAGGCGAGGAGCAGGAGGTGCCTCCACCACCTCCACTCCAAGAAGGCACCCTGGCTCCCAGGCGCCCGGTCCCAGGACGAGACCCGCCGCGTCCCGCGCCTGCGCGACAAGAAAGGAGCTGCCAAGAGATCCCTCGCCCCCAAGAAGGTGCTCGCGTGCTCTCGGCACCGGTGCGCCATGACCGCATCCCTGCGCCGCCACATCAGGACCCCGCGCTGCTCTAGGCAACGGTGCGTGGGAATCTCCAGGAGCAAGCCCTACACCAGCAGAGAGCTCCAGTGGTCACCGCAGGCTGTCGCGCTTTCACCTCCGAGCTGCGTAGCGTCGCATGGCCCGGCAAGTTCAAGCCAGACCTGCCTCCGTGCTACGATGGCACTGGAGACCCTATGGAGTTCCTCCAGCTCTACGAGTTGGGCATCGAGGCCGCCAACGGAGACAAGAAAGTCATGGCAAATTGGTTTCCCATGGCGCTCAAGGACGGTGCCCACACCTGGCTCCTGAACCTGGCTCCAGGCACGATCTCCTCTTGGAACGAGATGCGCACCCGCTTCATCGCCAACTTCCAAGGTACTCGCGACTGGCCCCCGGCCATGAGTGACCTGCGCCGCATCAAGCAACAGCCGGGAGAGACCCTGCAGAAGTACATCTAGCTCTTCAACAATGCCCGCCTCAAGATCCCCAGGGTGACTGAGAAGGCCATCATCTCAGCATTCTCCGATGGCGTGCGTGACATCAAGATGAAAGAGGAGCTAGCGATCCATGAAGACCTGTACACATCGCTGGAGCTGTTCAACCTAGCTACCAAGTGCGCCAGGGCTGAGGAAGGGCGCCTCTCCCTCCTTGAGCTCCCCGCTGCCGACCCAGAAGAGAAGAAGCCCAAGGTCAAGGATGTGAAGCGCAAGGGGGCTGTTGTGCTCGTAGCGGAGCCGGACACCAAGCGAGGCATGGATCAGCCTGAGTCATCTAAAGGCAGTCGGTACTGCGTGTACCGTGACCTCCACACCCACAAGACCAATGAATGTCAGGAGCTCAGGGCCATACGAGATGGACGTATCGGCCGACACCCCGACCGCAGCGACCGGGGCTATGGCCGAGGAGGAGGAAGAGGTGGAGGGGTGGGAAGACCGGGGCCCTCGCCAAGGGTGGCGTGACCGGCCTCGCGAGGACCGCTGGCAGGACCAGCCTCGCCAGGGAGGTTGGAGGGATCAGCCTCGCGAGGACCGCCCTCAAGGCAACGCATGCCTCCCTCCTCTACCACCGCCGGAAAGGAGGAATGAAGACCATCACCAGGACGAGGGGGCTGGGGGCTTCCAGGAGCCGCGCGCAATTGCTTGCATCCTGGGCGGCGCTGAGGCCCCAGCCTCTCAGCGCATCTTCAAGCAGTTTGCTCGCGAGGTGAATGCAGTCCTCCCCAAGCTTGAGGCCACGCATCCTCTCAAGTGGTCCGCATGCGCTATCACGTTCAGCTCAACGGATCAGCTCAAGTGTGCGGCAACGGCCGGGGTCCTCCCGATGCTTTGTTCCCCAATCATCAGCAATGTGCAAGTCACCAGGACCCTCATCGACGGCGGAGCTGGGCTCAACGTCCTATCCGTCGAAACGTTCAACAAACTCCAAGTGCCATACGATCAGCTTCAGCCAACCAAGCCTTTCTCAGGAGTCACTGATGGTTCCACTGTTCCAATAGGGCAAGTTCGTCTTCCCGTCACTTTTGGGCAGCGCAACAATTACGGCACCGAGCTCATTGACTTCGACGTCGCCCACATTCGCCTGCCGTACAATGTCAGTGACTCACCATGGCTACAATGTCCTCAAGATGCCAGGAAGCGGTGGAATCATCACAGTGCCTTGCGAGGAGAGGGATGCAGTGTGCTCTCTTGAGCGTGCCTTCCAGGCCGCGGCAATCGAAGACCCAGATCACAGGAGCGGGAGGCTCCCTGAGGCGGTCCCTAAGAAGAAGAAGGCTTCGCCTGGCCCAAGCACTCGCGAGGCAGGCGCCTCCGGAGGCGCCGCGTCAGGACCCACGCCCATTCAAGGGGCACCACCCTCTGCCGCATAGGAAGGCGCGCCCAGCGCCCTCCTCGGGCAGCGCCCTCCTGCGGCGTGGCTCAAGTGGGGGCCCAATGCAGCCCAGCTTCATCAGCTCAAGCTCAAGACCCTCGCGAGGGGCCAAGCCTCACGGGGCGGACGACAGGGAGCTTCCTCAGGAGCAGCCTCCTCAGGCGGGCTCGCGAGGAGGCGGAGAGATCAAGGCAGGGCACCTCCCGAGGGGCCCGTGACGCAAGCCATGACGATCGGAGGCCAGGCGGGTGCCAGGCGGGCGCCGGCCTGCGACAAGACCAAGACCAGCAAAACGGCAGGATGGAGGTCATCGTGGAGCCCAGGGCGGCGTCACCGTCAGAGCCTTTGGCAGCCGAAGACCAACTTTAGTTAGGATAAGTGTACCAGATGTTCCCCTTCAAAATGGCCAATTGTTGGCGCCCTTCCCGCTCATTATTTGGGGAGAGGCCCAGGGCCTTGCTCTATAAATAGGACTAGCCACCACAAGGTAGAGGGATCTGTATCTGGAGATCGATCGGAGAGAGAGAGAGAGAAGCGACTGAACTCACCCAAGCAGTTCATCGCACCAGCTCAAGAACAGCCCCTCGTGAGGTTGTTCTCCCTTTGTACTGTTCATGATCAGCCCCTGAGGCAATCCACCACACCACACAATGGAGTAGGGTATTACACCACAATGGTGGTCTGAACCAGTATAAATCTCGTGTCCTTTGTATGTTCATCTTTCTTGCCTAGATCTTTGCGAGACTTCGAGACGTGAGCTGGTAGGGGAGAGATCTTCGTGCGCACCCCAGTGTTCGAACCTCAAGGGTCTGCCGGAACCCGAAATCCGACAGAAACAGAAAGTAAAACAAAGCACATGCTGTGTCGGATGATGAACAACGACACTCGGAGTGATGATAGCTGTTGGATGGAAGATCTACAACCCAGTCAACGGCTATCCTCACTGGAGAGCCACTGGATGGTAGATCGACGGCTAGGGTTGCTTCCGACACGCAGGAACAGGGGAATTCTTCAGAGCTGCACTTATCTAGCCTGACAGGTTTTAAAACTTTGCAAGACCACACAGATCGGAAGCACGGGGATCACTCCCGGAATTAAGTAATACGGTTCCGGTGTGGAAATCGTCCTGGTTGGTGGATTTGGTTGTTCCGAGTGCCGGCGTCAAGCCGGGATGGTACAATGGCACTGGTGCAGTGGAGTTTTGTCTCTTGGCTCGTTCCTCGTTGCAGCGACGCTAGTGGTTGCAGCGAAGCTGAGTGTTGTGCAGGTGCTGCCGTTGAGCTGGAGACCTTTCTGTAATATCCATTTTTCACATGGGTTCTTTCGCGCAAAACAAATTGCATGCCTTACTCAACCGTCTATTCCTTACAACGATTGTTGTTGCAAGAACAAGAGGAAGCGCAATTCAGAAAAAAAAAAAGAACTGGAGGAAGCGGCCACTTTGGGATTGGCGAGCAAACTTTCTGATTGCATACATAGTGTTGTCAGCCACAAAACTTACATCAAAAGCTTAACGAAGGAGCTTCTTCTGCTTGCTGAAACGAGAGCTCCTTGCACTTGCTTCATTCGACTTTCCTCGAAAACAAACCGTCTAGTGAGTAGCAGTGACAACTGACAAGGAAGAAAGCAAGCAGCTGTAATGCTAGCATTTTCAAAGGGCGACAGCACAAATGCAAATGTTTAGGGTTTACCCCCAACTCATTACTCAGGGCAATGCAAATGTTGAGGGTTAAACCCCCCAGCTCATCACAAGAATTCGGATTCGCACCTAGTCAATCAATATACACCGTGCATGTAACCTATAGAAAAAAGAATAGCCTCCAGGCAAAAACAGAACACCTTGTATCTCAAATGGTGGCCTCTATAAGTAGCTAACGTAATGGCACGGAGATGGCTCATGAATCAAGCCGGTATGCAGTAGGAGGTGCTGAGAGTGGGAGGAAGCACGCACACCAGGTGGGGACCTGCCGGATTGCAGCTGATATTCGCATCGCCTACGTCGGGCAGGCCTAGCTGGGGCGGGTGTACATACCCCGACACCAGCGGGACACATGTCACGGCGATCTCGATCCTTGATCCTGTGGGTAAAATGGATGCCTACTGTTACATTGGTGCACACGATAATTGTGAACTGGCGCTAAAATAAAGATGGACTGAACCGCAGATGTGTCTAGATCCTAACCTTGTGTTTCTGAGAATGAAATGTGACCGCTTTTCCTCCCAGCAACCATCCAGTTCTGTGGATTAGCGTCCACCTGATAAAGTATTTCATCCTGCGAAATAGAATTCGAGCAGCTATGAAGAAATTTTCCAGTGGCATCTGCATAAAAGCAATGCCTGCTGGGAAGCAAAAAAGGAATGTTCTGCAGACTTACATCAGACAGAGATGCCTCCTCCAGGTCCTTCAGCCTTTCAACCCGCCATTTCATGTTGACTAATTGACCAACCCTCAGGCAATCAGTAGAAAACGGAAGGAATCCAACTGCCAGGCATGGATCTAGAACAGGGCGCTTCAGTTTGAGTGAAATCTTGAATAGAAGCTCTTCAGAATCATCAGGTTTAACAGGAACTGGAGAGTGTGCTCCGGTTGCTCGGTCACCGGATATCCCGTATTTAATATGCAACATGCTGTCAGCCTGTTCCAGCTCATCTAGGTCTGAAAATGTGAAAGTTCAAATGGGTGATTCATGTTTAAGATTAGTAGCTTAGAAAATGGAGTTTACGTTGGACATTGTTAGATGTTCATTGTGGCAACCAAACTATACTTTTCATGGTTAGCTTTGCCATAATGAAGTATACAACTCATAGTCGTAGCAAGGAGTAACAGACGTGAGCAATCATTTATTGCAAGTCAGCTTAAGATGAGAAGTGGACTTCCTAGAGAAGACATACCTTTTGTGCCACTTAAACGTATCACAAACAAGATTCCAGCTTTGGAAGAAGGAGCAATAACCAGAGGGAACAAACTCGAAGTCGGACGTCCATCTCCCTTGCCTAGGTGCTCAAATCCAGCTTGTAGGTCCAATGATACATCCTTTACATGCAGAGTAGCCTTCACTTCAGAATGCAATATTACCTGGACACGAAATAAAACATAAATTGGGATCCAATAATCCAAAAGAAATTAGTACCAATTGATACATGCATTTGTTCAACTATGTTATTAGAGCTGCCAGCATTGTTGCTGACACCTAATACAAGATGAAGAGCATATTTTATGTGCCTTTTTTTGAAAACGTATCAGCTAACAATTGTGTAAACATGAGAACTGTACCTGCAGAAGTAGAGTTCCATCATTGCACTTGTCAACAACACGTGTGCTCACATGGAATGGATTAGTGAAATGTACGGCAATGGTCCTGGAAAGCAATCACAATGGTATTTCTTTACTTGGCATATCTAAATAACGAAGTGAGAGCACAAATACTTGAGGGTACCTTTCAAATATTTGATTATGGAAAGCTCCAAATTCAAGCTTGAGAGCAATCATTCTCATCCCATCTACTATGCTATGTTTCTGAGGGGATGCTGAACAAATAAAGACACAACAAAAATGTCAAGTGACTGCCTGAAACACACTACTATACCTGATGTTATCTATTTCATACGAACCTGGGGATGTTCCCTTTGGGATTGTATCGTCGATAGCACGAACAGGGAACCAAACAAGAGTTGTCACGTCACTAGCCCAATCTGGCAGTTTTATCTTCCCATTTTCGATAGGAACCTTCTCAACACTTCCAGTATCAGTGGGCCTTGATAATGCCTTGGAAGCATCAATAGGACTAGAGTGCTCCCCGTCGCTTCTGTAACTTTCTATCTCAATCATCTGAGACTCCTCGATTTTTAGTTCAGCACCGGCATCTATATGCAGTATGCCACCTTTCAAAGAATAGTCTATAGGCTTGACAATCAGCCCGATCCACTGGAGTTCATTCATAAGCAACGCAGATGATACAGCAGGAGTAATATCAACCAAAGCTCTCGGTTTTCTCACCTAGAGTGAACGCACACACACAAAAAGTGAGACAGACCCGATAAAACGCACACACACTACATATAAGAAAGGTTTATCCTGTTATTTTAAGTGTGCCTATTTATAATTTTGGAAATAATGCTAGCTGACTTATGGTAAGTTGACATGATTCACAAGGGCTGATTTGTCATAATACTCCAGCTAATTTTAATGCATTACCTTCAAAACAGGTCTTGTTGGCTTCTCAAAGCTCATGAATTCATCAGTGTCCACTGGACCATCTTGAGAAAATCCATGTGATCTGAATGACAGCTTGCCAATCTGTCCAGTGAGAGCGCCCAACACATAGGAACCTGGCTTTTGAGGAGGAATGTCGAAGGTGATAATATTTCTACCAGGTACAAGAACACGTGCATCTGTACTCCTTATTGCCTGCATTACATGGCACCATTCATTGATTAGGTGACTGCAAAAAACATATGTGCAATTACTTCTGAAAGTTGTCCTACAATGATGAAACTGGATTTGAATTGGAAACATACTAGTGTATCAGACTAAACAAGAAGTCTACATCCCACAAGGAAAAAAAGAAAGTAATTGATAATGTAACAGCAAATTAACTGTACCTTAAGACCTTCATCTGCGCTAGAGAAAGCTGACAATCTTAAACTTAGAGACTCAAGTGTTATGTCATCTGGGAAGCCACTCCAAACTGCTACAGATAGTGTACCAGGATCACCATCACATAATTCTAATGGCGGAGCAGGATTTCCAGCGAATGTAATTAATGATGAAACATCAAGGGGTACAGGATGCCTCATTTCACTGTGAGCAAGCCGAACAACCTCTGACTGGAAAGCCTGCAGCTCTTTAGATGAAAACAAGCTACTCTCAAGAGAAAGTAACTTCACACAGGAAGCCAGATAACCAGCTTCGTCATTAAGAATCTTCTGGCATTCTGCAAGATCAGGAAGAACATCTGCCAACAGTTCTTCCCAGCCTTCTGCAGAATAGAGAGCACACACTTTCTCATAGGATTTTGCAGCCAGGTCGTAATTCCCATGCTTAAAAAATATAGCTGCAATCTCTCCATCAAGCACAACTCCATGTCTTTTCCACCAAGAGCGGTGATAATTGTCAGCTGCGCCTTTAGTAAGCTCCATATATCTACTCTGTTAACACAGAAACAAACACTGTTGCAGTTTTTGGGAAAATTTATATAAATAACATGATATTTAATTAGTGTCTCCAAAATTAATTAGTTCAACGAACTAATTTTAAAATAGATTAAGGGGAAATGAGCAGAATGGCAAAGTACAATTAAAGTATTCCAAAATATATATAACAGGATAGTAAGAAAAGAATCTATCATGGCGAGCTGTGGCTGAATAAATATACACCTCAAATTCTTCTGGTGATGAAAGTGACGTCATAAAATCAGGATCAGATATCGTCTGTTTCAATGCATGCTCAGCAGCAACATGAATTTCTGACAACCTCATGGGCCGATCAACTGGTAGAGAAGTCTCAGAGGTTGCTGGCCCAGACATAGTTCTTGTCATCAAGTTAGAAGAAGATTTGTTGGGAGAAAGTTTTGAATGTGCACCTAAACCTGAACTGTCCAGACAAAAATATACGCATATATGAATAAGACAATCCAACAGTTTATGCTGAAATTCCCACTCCAGATATAAATGCATCATAAATGGGAGAAATGGCTGCCCGTACCCATCAACTGAATCATATAATTCAGACAAATTTCCAACTGAAAGAAAAGCTCTACGCCTATTAGCTTCACGTAGAAGAGAAGAAGGTTCCAATGGCAGTGGTTTCCTCTGAATGTCAAAGAGCTTTTCTCTTGCTTTTGCTTGAAGAATTGTCTGCATAAGGAGAATATTTCACCACTTTAAGTCACAGTTTGCATTAAATATGCAATATAAGCAGCTAAACACTAGAAGCATTTTCCTTTGTCCAAGACCGAGGGAGAGCCTTAAAAGAATTCCCATATTCCGACTCCAGAATTTGGCATCTCCAGTTTCTTTTTTTATTATTCTACACCCAAATGCATAATTATACTAGTGATGAACCTGAAGTTTCCGTGTATGAAAAATTGCATGTTCACAGGAACAAAAAACTGAAAATGATATTGATCCCTAACATGGATGCATGGAATAGCATGTTCTATTTCCATATCCCATGCTTCATTTCATGCCATTTCGTACAGAAAGATTTGCCTTTTGAGCATACAATATTAGAGGAAGGGGCGACTAGATCTAGTGACTGATTTCTAACATGTTGATGTCGTCACTTCGCATGGGTATTGTTATGGCGCTGCTAGAAAGAGGGCGCGAGAGGGCCAGCCGGGAGCCTTTTTGCCCACGGCCGGGCAAGAGGGAAGGGATTTCCTTCTTGATTCTTGCTTGATTAGATTGATACATCTCCTCTTTTTATATAGAGAGGTTTACTTGACTCCCAAGCAAGGCTTACTTGACCCCTAAGCAAGCAACCCTTATCTCTAATTAACCCTAAGACTAACGGGCTATACCGCCAGCCCAGGCCCATTACGTACTCTAACACTACACCCCACCTGGACATGCAGCTTGTCCTCGAGCTGCAGCCTAACCAACTTATAACCATGACTCGACGCAACACAAACCTAACACCTAAAAACAAGCCTTTTACATATCGGCTTGTGTTATTACTCTCAAACTAAAATAGACTGGGACGCTTTATTTTGGACATGCACGTGTAGAGCCACCTGGATCCCATGGACACCACCTGGACAAAAGGAGTGCATGTGTATGGCTGTTGGTCTGCACTGCACAGGGAAGAGTGGAGGGCTTGCGATGGAGAATGTCGAGGAGGGGTGCGCCCCCCCAACCGCCGATGTCGCAGACTTTGAGGTTGCTGCCCACGGGGAAAACAGCATGCCCGCCGCCCGTGGGGGAAACCGCATGCCCAAGATCCCCGACGCAGCTGACGAGATCGAGGTCCTTTGCGCAGCGAAGGGCAACTTGGAGGAGCGGCAGCTGCAGACCACGCATCTCCCGCACACGCCGATGCGCTAGGAGGCCGCGCGCGGCAGCCTGCAGCCTCACCGCCGCCGACACGTGGCGGGTAGCGATCCAAGACGGAAGCGGTGACTGCGGCGGTGGGGACTTGATTTGCTGGATGTGGACGCCCTGGGATGGCGGCGGCGCTGATGGGAACAAGGTCGTCGCAGTCCCGTCGTAGGGCATCCCATACTGGGCGGCGGAGCTGACCGGCGATGGCTGTTGCGGTGTCGCGCCGGGCAGCGGCAGCGGCTGCTGCGGCAAAGCGCCGGGCGCGGCGGAGGCTGCTAGGAGCGGCGGCTACCACTGCAGCCAGGGCTGGGCGGTGGTGGCGATGGATGGCAGCTGCAGCGGCCCGGCGAAGGCCGCCTGGTGCGGCGGCTGCCACGGCAGCCACGGCGATGCGGGGGCGGCGATGGGCGGCGCAGCCGGGGGCGGCCCGTAGGACCCGGCCAAGAACATGTGGATCTCCTGGACCGCCTGGGTTAGGTCCCGCAGCACCCCGAACACCTCCTCCGGGGTGAGGACGGCGGATCCCAGCGGGGGCGGGCGCGACGGAGGATCCCGGCGCGGGCAGGAGCGGGGCGACGGTCGTGGTGGTCGCCAGAGGCGACGAGGTGACCGGCAGCAGAAGAGACGGGCTTGGCGGCGGTGAAGACATGATCGAACCGAAGCTAGCTGATACCAAATTGTTATGGCGCTGCTAGAAAGAGGGCGCGAGAGGGCCAGCCGGGAGCCTTTTTGCCCACGGCCGGGCAAGAGGGAAGGGATTTCCTTCTTGATTCTTGCTTGATTAGATTGATACATCTCCTCTCTTTATATAGAGAGGTTTACTTGACTCCCAAGCAAGGCTTACTTGACCCCTAAGCAAGCAACCCTTATCTCTAATTAACCCTAAGACTAATGGGCTATACCGCCAGCCCAGGCCCATTACGTACTCTAACAGGTATGGCCCAATTATTAGACCACATAAGAGCGAAATAGACTTTTGATGCAAAAGAACCAAAAAATGCAGATGAAACCTAATAAGAAGGCATGATACAATGCTGAAAAATGCTTGCCTTCTCCTTTGCCATTACTTCTGCCGACGAATCAGGTGGAATCAAAGGCCAAGTAGCTGGCTTTGGCCAAGATAGCATGCTTAATGAGGCACTGCAGGTACATTAAACATGTTAATTCGAACGCAAAACTCGATGGAAGGGTGAATTCAGAATATAAAATAGTGACATTGATCTTATACCTGTTGACTGGACTTTTTTCTATTTCAACCCCATAACCAATCAAATAAGCAAGCCTCATAAACTGCCATATCCATCAAGAGTAATATGTAAGCAAAGAGTTTTGCATGTTTTCAGCGAATTAGGCAAATATAGTCCAAAAGATAAGCAAGAAGGAGTTGATGGCACATTTAATCTGATTGCGGCAAGAAGCTAATAAACCAACAAAACACAAAACAAGAACTGCATTCTCTAGTGCCCATTTGAACTTCAAACCATTACAAAGTGCAGACAGATGATTATTAAAACTTGCCTTAGCACGACAGAGAGAATAAAGGTCACCCTGAAGACGATAGAACTCCTTCTCTGAATCAATAGCAACAACTCCACCATCATATTGTGTACTTGTGGATTTAATTAAACCCAAACAAGCAGTTATCACCCATACTTCGCGAAAACAAAAGGGTAGTGCATTCTGAAGGAAAAGGGAAAACACATTCAGGATTACTAAACAAGTAGTATTTTGCAAAGGGTGATAGTCTTCCTAGAACATATTTAATTCTTGGCAAGGAGAAATATAGTGAAGCCATGGTTACATACCTCATGCACGGCTAGCGTCTTGGAAAAGCTGACAACAAAAGCATATCCTCTTGCAGCAACCTCAACTGGTCGAGACAGTTTAAATAATAACTGAAAAGGTGAAATAAAATAAATGATAAATACAATATTTAATTGTAAGTTGTCGTAGAACCATTAATAATGAATTGTATAAAAAACAAATTTAGCATAAATTAAAACGCCAGGGGTTGTAGTTCTATATGACAAGACCCATTTGAGCACAACAAGAACATGCTCCTCTCCTAATTAATTAAATAAGTGTCATGCTTGACTGCTTGTGCTATATTACAAGTAATTATTATTGTTTCATGATCCTCTCCTAATCGTAAACATTGTGTAACTCTAGTTGCTACAAAATAAAGCAATAAATCGAGGTACTTTCATACTTACATAAAATACTAAGCAGTTGTACAATATTGCACAAACTATTTCAACAAACGAATAATCCATTATGCACATACCTTGGCCTGGCAAGCAAATATGTATTGCCTAAACTCAAATTCCCTGAACACGTCATCCTGAACAATCTGGGTCAACGCTTTGAACCCTGGATTTAGCAGCGCAGCCTGATCATCACCAGTATCCAGTCCTCCAAATTCTCGAGGTTTCGCTGGGAGATTTACTGCATCCATGCAAACAAAATGATATGGACACTAATGAGCAAACTATCTTATAAAATACATATACAGGAAACTTAATATTCCAAAAAAGTTTGGCAGCACGGGTAAGCTTTATGTCAAAACGTAGCACTCTTTCTTTTCTTAACATAGAAGACAAGGAATTAGTTGATGACATCACCATTATAGTATTTGAAGCAAAGAAAAGCGTGCCAAAGAGTCAGCAAATAAATAGTTACTCACAGTCACCTCCAGAAAGAACAAGCAAGCTTCCACAAACAGATCTATAAGTTTATGGTTGGAAATAATGTCAATCATTTATAGTCATATTTGATCTTCATGCTACTCTGTTTCATTTTACTTTGCATATTAGATAATTTACGCATACCTAGGAGGAGTTAAGAGGGGCTGTTTAGGCTTCATGCATTGGCTCATGGAGCCACTGGTCATATGCTCATCCGTACATTGGCTCATTATTCCTCGGTGTCCTAATAAGCAATGTCTAACTAACTGATCATCACTGGTCATCTATAAGAAGCTCAGTTCAATGTCTCTATATAGTAATACAAATTCAGAAACCTCAAGGCAAACTACTTCTAATCTACGGTCCATACTACATGTGCCATAAATGAGGAACCTGTGTTGCACTTCTGTCAGCACAATTTAATGTTAGCCTATGGAAATGAGAACTGTTCCAGATTCATATTGGGGTCAACATTATCGGAGAAAGCAACAAGATGACACTGGCGCATAAGAACCAACTGGCTGGACACAACCGGAATCAGACCTGCAAAGGGAGAGCACTGCTGCACTGCAGGCAGATTCTACCATGACAGACTACAACTCGAAAAATACAGCTCGTGTTTGAGAAGGACTGTTTGGACTCTTCTAAACTGGATTCGCTCCTAATCTCTCCCCTGGACTCTGGCCTAACTTTTCTTGCCAGGATGTCTGCCTAGTTCTCGAACTTCTGCAATGGTATATAGGTCAGTTAGCATTGCACATTTTATTCTCAAGCAACGATAAAAATCCATCTTCCCCAAATTCTCTTCGGTACCCCTATAACTCTCCTGCGCTATTTTTTTCTGTATTGCCACCAGCAGTGGCTAACCACCACCATTAGCCTTGGCTAACGTTGTCCTACCCCTACAAACTACAAAGCAATCACATACACCTTATGATAGATGTATGGAGTTACTCTGAGTTCATGAAAAAACGCATGACTCTTGAGTCTTGATCACCTTACACTGAACCCTGATATATTAGAAAGAAAATCCTTTGATGATGCAAGTTTAATTAGAGATGAAGCTCAAAACTCAATGCAACATAACTGCCCCAGATCAAAGTTGAAGAAAAACCTGATTCTGAATAGCATAGTTCAAGCTCATCATATTCACGGAGTGAATCTTCATGAAGATTAGTCACCTCAAACATAAATGCCAAGCTTTCCTGAACAAATAAGAGTGTAAGCTCAAGAAAGCCACACAAACGTAAAGGAACACAGTGCCACTGAGAATGAAATAAGTAACAACAATTGATAAGCACTAGAAATGGTCCCATTGCTAACCTTCAGAATAAAAAAGTTGCAGAAGTTCCATACTGGTGTGAATCGCTGCTCACTTAACCTGCGGTTTTCCTCTTCATAGAACTGAACCCTTCTATCCAATGTGTTTCTTATGCAGTCCACCATTTTCGAGTCAAAATCGTCCCAGAATTCATCATCAGGTCCATGAAGATCAAATTTGCAGCACCTATATCATAGGTGGGCATTTTAAATTTGCATGTAATTAAGTATTATTTGCAGTAACATCTGAACCGAGAACCCCAAAAGGAGTTCCTTGAGAATTCATAAATGGAGGCATCCTCATAAAAAATTCAATGCAAGATGACAGGTGACGCATGTTGCAGTCAAACAACAAATACATACAAATATTCAGCACACAGATATGAGTGTTGCCAACTCGGATATGGAGACGTGGCAAAAGAAATACCTTTCTCTCTTTTTAGTGTTGAAATCGGCCTCAAGCCTAGCGTATACTTTCTTTGCCATCTTAGTTGCTTGATCATTGCTAGGATGGGCCTTCGACACAAATACAATGAACCATTCTCTCTCATCATTTTGCACAATTAATTTGAGGCGGGGCTTAAGAATGGTCTTGAACTCATCAAGATCCTGTACATTTCATATATATGAAGAATGGCAAAAAGTCATGGTCCATTTGAAAAGTGATGTTATCTAAAACTAGAATCAGGAAGAGCAGCATGCAACATGATATTTAAAAATGTGGAGAGAAGTACCTCGCAAGTAACAAGAACAACAGTAGCATATGGTTCGCGAAACCAAAACAAGTATTGTTCTTGCGGAAATCGACTACGCAGCCTTGAATCAGTTGTCTGTATAAACTCAGCTGGTAGGTTTTCCACTAAAACGGGGTTCCTCGCCTTGTTATTGAGACAGGCTTTCTTGACTGGCAAGCGTTGCTCAAAACTATCTTTGACGTTGAGCCACAAGTCACTCACATCCTCAACTGTTACAAAAGATTATTTGCTGATGATAAGGAATTTATACAACAAATACACAAATTTGATCTCGCATTTTGTCAGCATGTGTGGCGAGGAGCTAAAGTAGTTGTGTTAGTCAACTTTTATTGTATAACTCCGGACTATACCAATGGCAATCTGCCTGTCCAACACTGCACAGGTGCGTGCAATTTGAGATAAATTTCATATGAAGCAGGTTTGTGCCAATATGCTGGTGCATTATGTGGTTTCCATGCAGATTGTTTGGCCACATTGGAAATTGGAGACAACACTCATTCCCCCATTAGCTTAAGCACAGCGAACCTTACTTGTCACTAGTTGAGATGCGACCAGCAGGAAGCAAAACACAACCCTCCAGCCCTCACACCACCATGAATATCACTCAACAGGATGTCACAGCAAGCCCGAGACCACCATTTCAGCTATATTATCTAGAAATATCACCATTTCATCTCCAATTGCCGCCCGATCGGGCGCAACCCTCCCGCGTGGCCCCGAGATCACGCGGGCCGGCTGCGCAGATCGCGCTATTCTGCGAGTCGCGGCAGCGCACGGGAGAGCGCGGTTCATGGTAGGTATGGGATCCGAGGGGTTAGGAGTAGGGTGAAGAGAGGAGGTGGCATACCGGCGATGACGATGCGGTCCGAGGAGGACTTAATGGTCTGGAACTGCGCCAGATAGTTGGCCATGGCCGCAGCCGGCGCAGGGGCAAGGAGATAGCTTCGGCGCTGGGGCTACTGCTCCATGCGGCGAACGTTCCGACGCCGGAGAGGTCGCCGGAGACAGGGACAAGGCGGGGGAGTGGCGAGATGCGGAGGGGAGGGGGAGTGGTGGGGGAGTTGAGTTTGGTGGAGACGACAAGGCGGCAGGCGCTCAAACGGGTCGGGTCGGGTCGGGTGCGAAGCGGGCAAGTGGCTTAACGGGGCGGAGAGGCCGTCGAGGTGGGCGAACTTCGTCGGTCAGAGCATCCACACCCGGCCATCTCAAACCCGCCTTAAACACGTGGACTGACCACCCGATCAGTGACTGATCAACAAAAACCGACCTGAAAGCCTCAAGCTGATCGGCATCCTTCATATCCAGTTCAAATATAGGTGAATATAAGAAGACCCAGGCGCGACCAGACGTGTCCGTCACGTCGGACTGACGATTATTCCCCACGGAATTGCCCGGAAACCCGGCGGTCCGACGGACGTCTCCTCCGATGGGGGTGTGAATGACACCCCCCCTGACTCGCCACCCGAGGCCAAATCCAGCTATTTAAGTCGGTCGGCGTACCCCAACCCTAGCCACATCCACTTCCTCCCTCTCTGCACCGCCAGCCCGAGCCCATCCACCTCTCTCCCGTTCCGCCACTCTTCCCACGCCGTTCGGCTTCGACATGGCCCGCAAAAGAAGAAGACGTATGCTCTGCTCATGCCGGAGCGTCGTTTGCAGATTGAGGAGGAGATCCGGACAAGGTCTGTCGCCCGCATCGCAGCCGGTCTGCCTCCGGACTCGCCGTAGCCGTATGAGGAGGAGGAAGAGAAGCGGCAGACGGCTCCGATGGATGTGGCGGATCTGGAGGAGACAAGGCGGAGCATCCGTAGGATAACCTGACGGGGGCCATCCTCTTTAGCAGAAAGACGTATATTCCTTGCTCATTATCAGACAATCGCTTATTCCCAAACCTCTTGTGCGACTAATCGTTTTCATTTACCATCTCATGGAAAACCCTTTTCGTTCCGCTTAGCCCTATCGGGTATTTTAGTGATAGGTTCTGTAGGAAGTGGACGATCCTATTTGGTCAAGTACCTAACGAAAAATTACGATTTTCCTTTCATTAAGGTACGAGGGCTTCTTATTCCACAAGAACGAAAAACTCCGGGCTTCAGCATGGAGGACGCGAAGGTGGAGTTCACGGTCGCCCAAGCGACTAAGATGGCGGAGCAACATGCCATCTTGTAGTCCATTCAGGATGATGCCTATGTGGAGGCCAACCGGCAGTTCATCCGATGCGAACCGGTCGTGATCGACGCGCTTTTCGACGAACTCGACGCGGAGATGGAGGTGGAGGCCGACGTGGAGCAGCTGGAAGAGCCGGAGTTGCGGTTGCCGCCCATGTACCTAGAGACGGGCACGGAGATAGTGGGCAAACAAGGATTAGGGTAGTATAGGTTTCTACGCAGGATTTTCTCGTTTGCATGATTTGTAAGGTTTCAAATATGAGATATCTGGATGCAGAGTAGTAAATTTAAGGCCCGACCTATCATTACCCGCGGACGCGCCCGGACGAGTCCGCTTTGAGGGGGCGGATTTGCCAAGTCCGGCTGTAGATGCGCTTAAGGATTCTTCGAGAAAATCTACCGCAAATCATTATGGCCGAAGCGCCACATCGGTCCTCCTACACCATCTGATTCGGTCTCCTACATTCGTTTGATATGTCGGGTCGGCTCTATCGACCCTTCCCCCATCCAAGAAATCCTCATCGCCACGCCGTGTCTGTTCCCTTCCCAAACGCCAACCGGCTCACCGGCTGCCCTCGCTTGCTTGCCTTGCTATTGACGTTCACCAACGATGCTACCCGCCGTTGATCACAACTTCCCCCGTTGTCATCCATAGCAAAGTCATTCACCGCAACCTTCTTTTATTGTCACCCACGTTGCAACCATGGTAGTGCCATCATTGTCGGCCGCATCAACGCTCCTCCTGAGATGTAGCACTTTCAGACGACCTTTTGATATGGAGCACTGATTCTTTTAATAGCGTCAAGAAAGAGATAAAACATGAAAAGAGAACTAGAGGATCTTCAGAACGATCCCTTAATAGTTGGCCCGACTCATGTCGGGTTAAAGATCATTGAGAAGTTGGTTGAATTGTACTACCATGAAGAGATCATGTGGCGCCAGCGATCGCATATCGAGTGGCTTGCAACAGGTGACAAGAATACAAAATATTTTCTTCAAAGGGATTGTACTATGAGAACGAAAAATCTAATCAAATTCCTCGCTAAACATGATGGGACAAGTACGTCCAACTGGGCCGATGAAAGATCGTGGATGTCGTCCAGAGAGGGGATGAATAGGCGCTTTAAAATAATTACAGTATAGGCTTGAACAAATGCGGAATAAAACTAGCGTTTAATTTGTCAAGCACAAAAGTTAAATCAACTAGGCTCACCTATGTGCACCAACAACTCATGCTAAGTGTTGGGAAACGTAGTAATTTCAAAAAAAATCCTACACACACACAAGATCATGGTGATGCATAGCAACAAGAGGGGAAAGTGTGTCCATGTACCCTCGTAGACCGAAAGCGGAAGTGTTAGCACAACGCGGTTGATGTAGTCGTACGTCTTCACGATCCGACCGATCCAAGTACCGAACGTACGGCACCTCCGAGTTCAGCACACGTTCAGCTCGATGACATCCCACGAACTCCGATCCAGCAGAGCTTTGCGGGAGAGTTCCATCAGCATGACGGCGTGATGACGGTGTTGATGATGGTACCGACGCAGGGCTTCGCCTAAGCACCGCTACGATATTATCGAGGTGGAATATGATGGAGGGGGGCACCGCACACGGCTAAGAGATCAATGATCAATTGTTGTGTCTATGGGGTGCCCCCTGCCCCCGTATATAAAGGAGCAAGGGGGAGGCGGCCGGCCTAGGAGGAGGGCGCGCTAAGGGGGGAGTCCTACTCCCACCGGGAGTAGGACTCCTCCTTTCCTAGTAGGAGTAGGAGAGAAGGAAGGGGAAGGGAGCAGGGAAGGAAGGAGGGGCGCAGCCCCTCCCCCTAGTCCAATTCAGACTAGGCCTTGGGAGGGGCCTGCCCTAGGCAGCCCCTCTCTCTTTCCCGTATGGCCCAATAAGGCCCAATACTTCTCCCTGGCGAATTCCCGTAACTCTCCGGTACTCCGATAAATACCCGAATCACTCGGAACCTTTCCGATGTCCGAATATAGTCGTCCAATATATCGATCTCTACATCTCGACCATTTCGAGACTCCTCGTCATGTCCTCGATCTCATCCGGGACTCCGAACTACCTTTGGTACATCAAAACACATAACTCATAATATAAATCATCACCGAACTTTAAGCGTGCGGACCCTACGGGTTCGAGAACTGTGTAGACATGACCGAGACACATCTCCGGTCAATAACCAATAGCGGAACCTAGATGATCATATTGGCTCCCACATATTCTATGAAGATCTTTATCGGTCAAACTGCATAATAACATATGTTGTTCCCTTTGTCATCGGTATGTTACTTGCCCGAGATTCGATCGTCGGTATCTCAATACCTAGTTTAATCTTGTTACCAGCAAGTCTCTTTACTCGTTATGTAATGCATCATCCCGCAACTAACTCATTAGTCACATTGCTTGCAAGGCTTATAGTGATGTGCATTACCGAGAGGGCCCAGAGATACCTCTCCGACAATCGAAGTGACAAAACCTAATCTTGAAATACACCAACTCAACATGTACCTTTGGAGACACCTGTAGAGCTCCTTTATAATCACCCAGTTACATTGTGACATTTGGTAGCACACAAAAGTGTTCCTCCAGTAAACGGAAGTTGCATAATCTCATAGTTGTAGGAACATGTATAAGTCATGAAGAAAGCAATAGCAACATACTAAACGATCAAGTGCTAAGCTAACGGAATTGGTCAAGTCAATCACATCATTCTCCTAATAATGTGATCCCGTTAATCAAATTACAACTCATGTCTATGGTCAGGAAACACAACCATCTTTGATCAACGAGCTAGTCAAGTAGAGGCATACTAGTGACACTATGTTTGTCTATGTATTCACACATGTATTATGTTTCCGGTTAATACAATTCTAGCATGAATAAGAAACATTTATCATGATATAAGGAAAAAAATAATAACTTTATTATTGCCTCTAGGGCATATTTCCTTCAGTCTTCCACTTGCACTAGAGTCAATAATCTAGTTCACATCGCCATGTGATTTAACACCAATGTTCACATCTGTATGTGATTAATACTGTCAGGGATATACCCTGCGGTGTAACCCGGCCGGAAGTATAACCCGGCCGGACTTGGCGACTCACCAGAGACCCGGCTAGAGCTTGGCGATCCGCCCAAACATGGCGGTTTACATGTGACCCGTCTGGACATTGTAATTCACTGGAGACCCGGCGGGTAGATTAGACGGACGACAAGGCTCAAGGCCCAACAGGCCGGCTTATACTCTGGTGGGCCGGCTTAAGAGGAAAGCGCAAGGAATATTCCCTTACAAAGGAAGCAAGACTAGGACTCCACTTGTAATTGAGTAATTCTAATCCTATTAGGACTAGTCATGTAACCCGCCCCTTCAACTTATATAAGGAGGGGCAGGGCACCCCAAAGAGGGACAAGGAACAAGAAACAATATCTAGGGCTAGACACAAAGGGGGAGCCGGCTGATGCGGCGACTCTCGATGAGCATAATGAGACCTAGCCTCAAACAGCATGTAGGGCTATTCCGGATGATGTTTCCCGGGGCCCGAAGCTATCTAAATCCTTGTCTTGTGTGTTGCGTCTCTCGTCCCGATCAACCCCTCTCAAGCTACCGCATAGGTGTGTTGGCCTCACGACTAAAGTCCCTGTAAAAGGACATCTGCCGTGACAATTCCACGACAGTTGGCGCCCATCGTGGGGCTGCGCACGGTGGTGTTGAGTTCTTGGAGGGA